CCTGCTGAAGCGCGAACCAGCCCTCGGCCCCTCCCAGCGCTGGGCACATGGCTGCCCGGTCTTCTTCCCCAGCTCCAGATTGGGGGTCTAATCTCCCCCTCCAGAGGTGGGAGGGAACGTGATGGCCTCCAGCCTCCTCCCCAGGCTCCATGTGAGGGGGTCCCTGCCTGGCCCCACTCCCGAAGTGCAATACGGCGCCCAGCCTCCCCCACCCCGCCTGGCCCCCGTGCTGTGATCTGTGTTTGTGTGGCCGTGTGTCCCCCGTGCCGACGCCCTCCCCATACAGGCCCCCTGGGGACAGGGAGCTCAGAGCAATAACCCCGCCCCCAGCCCCCACCCAGGAGGGCCCCCACTCCACACCAGCTCCCTATAAGCCCCAACAGCCACGTCCAGAGAGTTTACTACAAAAATAAAACAATGGAAAGGAGTGTGGATGTGGGGTGCCCAGCGTTGTGGGTGACCACGGCGCCCCGGGCGGGAGCTGGGAAGGGGTGTGTGGGGGCGTCTGGGAAGAAGTGTTAAAACACAGAATGAATGAACAACCGGAGAGAGGCGAGGCGGTGTGAGGACGCGGTGGACGCGGTGGACGCGGTGGACGTGGTGGACGCGGCGCAGCAGGGAGCGCTCCAGATGCCACGCCAGGCCCTGCCCGGCCCGCACGACGCACACCTCTCCTTAGATAATATATATTAAAAAATAGACCTCCAATTCAGGGTATAAAAACAGAGCAAAGGCACTTGGGGTGGGGATGGGGGTGGAGGGGTGGCCTCCCCCCCCAAGGCAATACTGAGATGGCCCGGGAAATAGGGATCACTGTGGTGTCCCCTGGAATGAAGCCCTGAGTCCCCCAAGCAGAAGGCGGGAGGGAGAAAAGGACCAACGAGAGGTTTCGGGGAGGCAGCGATCCAAGCTGGGACCCCCCGCTAGACGTGGCCCCAAGAGCCCAGTTCCTTGTCCCGGGGCCCTCGGGGTCGGAGATGCTGCAGCAGCTGTGCAGTGGTGGGGGGCTGGTCCTCAAGTCCTCTCCATGTTGCAAAAGGCCTGGGGGATGTAGAAGGGGGGACACGGAGAGATGGGGTGAGAGGAGATGACGGGGAGAGAGCAACAGGGAAACAAGAGAGAAAGGGAGAGTGGGGAGAAGGAGCCCGGAATAGCCGGGGAAATAGAAACCGACAGAGACGGAGACATAGAAACCGACAGAGACGGAGAGATGGGGACAGGAGGTCGATCAGGGAGGTTCAGAAAGACGCAGACCCGGGGAGAGACGGCTGGGGCTGTGGTGAGGGGAGCCCCGAGCCCTCCACTCACCTGCCTGGGGCAGCCTCAGGTACAGCCAGGCTGGGGGACAGTGTTGTCCCCAAGCTGAGACAGGACGAGTCGCATGCGACAGAACTCCTCCTCCATCTCCTGGTTGGGGGGCCATCCATGAGAGGGGTCCCCCCTACCCGTCCACCTCCTCCACCCCTCCCTGCCCCCGGCCACCACCTCCAGCTGTTTAATGGTCTCCTCCAGGCAGAGCAGCTCCTCTCGGATTTCCTGGGTCTGTGTGGGGTTCAAGGGGCCACCCCCTGGTACCCCATCCCCTTGGAGGGGAGGCCCCGCCCCGCTGTCTTCCTCCAAGGGGAACAGGAGCTGCTTGAGGGTCAGAACTAGCCGGGGACAAGGGGACAGAGTCAGAGGCAGGGCTGGGATGGGGTGTTCAGAGGGGGACAGGTGTGGGGCAACGTGCAGGAGAGGCCGGGGGCCTGCGGGTGGGGTTGAGGGCGCGTGCCAGGCGAGGCTGAACTTGGGGTTAGCTGGGCCAGCAGATGGTACGGAGGTGAGGCTGGGGCAGGACTGGGGCACCAAGGAAGGAGACGGGTCCAGGGAGAGGCTGGACTGAAGGTCAGGGAGGGGTCGGAAGCTGCAGGAGAAGGAGGGGCCGTGCAGGGGGGTGCTGGTGCCCTCTTTTTTCTGGCTGCTGGGTGTGGGCTGGCGGCACCCTGCGGGGGTGGGGTGGGGCTACCTTTCTGAAGGGCCTTGGCAGAGAGCTGGCCCTCAGGGCCGGGCCTGCAGAAGGGCAGGAGGGCGCTGAGAGTTCTCTCGATCCGGCCTGGGTGGGGAGCAGGGAGGGTACTCGGATCCTGCTCAGCTTCCCATGGACACCCCTGCCCCCACTCCATGTCCCCCCAGGCTTACCGTCCGCTGGGGGCATCTCTCGGCCACCGTTGCTGTTCTCGGAGCTGCTGAGCAGGGGTTCTCGAGTGCTGGGGGAAGTGCTGGGTGACCCCATACCCGTGGCCCCAAGGGGTGGCAGGGGCAGGGAGACAGAGAACTGGAGGTGGGGAGGTGGGGAGGTCCGGACACAGGGACAGGAGTCGAGGCTGGGAGATGGAGACAGAGAGGCTCGGCCAGTGGAGGACAGAGAAGCTTGGACAGGAGACAGATGGGCTGTGATGGGGTGGCACACACTCATGCACGCATGCACACATGCACACATGCACACGCATGGAGACGAGGCTAGAGCTCAGGTTCTGGGGACACACGGGAAGCTGGCCCCGCCCCTGGCCCTCCAGTCCCCTCACCTTGGGTTGGGCCGAGACTTGGGGCGGGAGGCGGGGGCAGGGACTTTCAGGGATCCAGCTGTCTCGGTGATGAGGGCACACCAGCTGGGGAGACAGGCCAGCCCCTGGGCGGTCAGAGCCCCCAGACCCTGTGCCAGCGTCTCCCACCCTCGCCCTGTCCCAAGGGACTCGGAGGCCTGGGCCTCCTCCCCCGCCAGTGTGTGGAACCCGGGTCCCCTTACTTCTTCCGCTCCGACACGGTCTGTGCCACCAGCTCGTATATCTGAGCCTCCTGGTCCCAGGTAAAGATGACATAGAAGGCTTTGTGATCTGTAAGGGGAGAGAGTGGTGGGGCTGAGCCAGGGTAACCCCGACATGCGTCCCCCCCGAACACCCATGAGAGGCTGGGGATGGCCCTCTCCCTGGTGGAGCCCCGGGGGCTCCCACACTCAATTTCCCCCTTCTTGTGTCACTGATACCCCCCAGGTTCCCTCATCCAGCCTTCCCTCTAACACCCCACATCTAACTGGGCAACACATCCCCACCACCAGGCTCTGGGGCAGCATCCTGGAAACATGTATGCAAACCCTCATCACTGGGCTCCCAGCTTCCGCCCGTGCCCCCACAGTCCCCGAGCGGCAGTCAGGGCATCTTTACAAAACAGCAGGCTGCTCCTCTGTGCAAAAATCTGGGGCAGTTTCCCATCTCACTTAAGAAAATCCACAACCAGGCCTGGCCCCCCGGCCCTGCCCAGCTGGCGGCCCCTCCCACGGCCCTGCCTGGGGCCTGCTGGGCCTCCTGCTTTGCAGCCTCTGTGGCAGCCTCCCCATCGCCAGAATGAGTTCCCAGCTCTCTGAAGGGTCCCCTCCCCACTCCATGGGCAGCCGTGCCCTGAGCCATGCCGGCCAGGCCTCACCGGTGGCCACCTCGCGGGTCATGGCGGAGGTGAGCCGCAGCACCGGTCGCAGCATGGTCTTGCCGTCAGGCGTGGGCGTCAGCGTCCGGCTGTGCAACTTGAGAAGTAGCCGCTCATCCTGGCGCTGGAGCAGAAGCAGCAGGTCATCCAGCAGGAGCACGTGCACCTCTGCAGGGGGCAGGGCTGCACTCAGCACCCGCCCCAGCCCCCCAAGCCGCCTGAGCCCATGGCCCTGCTCAGCACCCCGCCCGAGACCCCGCCCTGCTCAGCACCCCACCCGAGACCACCCCAGCCCAGCTCAGCACCCCACTTGAGCCCACCCGAGCCTGTGGCCCTGCTCGCTGCCCCAGCACATACCCACAGCCTTGTCCTTCGTCACCCGCCACGTCAGTGGGCCCTCGTGGACCAGCTTCTTCTTGGTGATATCCAGGTTCTAGAGGCAGGAAGGGTGACGGTTGGCACAGGGCAGGGGAGGGCGGGGATGACTGTGGGGTGCCTATTGCAGTCGGGGGTCAGGATGGGTGGTGGTCAGAGTTGAGGGGCCTCTCTGGCTCCCTGGGTGCATTATGAGAGAATCATGGGCAGCAGGGCCAAGGGAAGGGGACAGAAGAGTGGGAGGGGCGGTCACCTTGAACTCGCTCAGCATAGGGTCACTGCTCTGCCGCAGGTAGGACAAGTCCAGGCGCCTCTGATAATCCTTGAGCCGCTGGAGCAAGGGAGAGAGTGTCACAGGGACAAGTTAAGCGCTGGGGCCGACCCACAAAGACCCCAAGGGCCAGAGTGCCAGGCCTGACCTCCGGTGACCCTGAGAGGGAGGAGCTGAGGCCTAGCTAATTCCCGGAAAGGCACTGACCCTGAGCGGGGCAAGCGAAGGGCCAGGCCTGACCTCCAGAGAAGTGACACGAGACAGACAAGCTGGGGGTCAGGCTGACTCCCGCACACACGTGACCCGCGGGCTGCCCGGGGCCGGGACCACACGCAGGCTCACCAGCAGGTCCTCCATGTCCCGCACCGCTTGGTTGACGTGGTGCAGGATTTCCCGGCAGCACTCGGCTGCCAGCTCCACTTTCTCCCGTTCTGCGGGCTCTTCTGTGGGCAAGGGAGAGATCGACCGGTGAACCCCAACCCTGGATGCCACCAGTCTCCAGCCAAGGTGGGGGACACATGGCTGGTGGCCAGCGGGGGTAGGGCCGGCGGGGTGCACCTGTGTTCTGCCCGATGCTCTGCAGGAGCAGGGGGTACTTGGTCAGCCGCTGCATCTCCGTGGGGATCATGTCCTTCAGCTGCAGGCGGCGGCACCGAGGGCGGCTCTCGGCCTCCTGAGGGGACAGCCGAGCTGAGGTGGCCCCTTCTTGGGGCTGGGACACCAGCCCCTCCCCGCCGGGACCCAGGTCCCAGACACCAGCCCACCTCACCTGCACAAAGGCGCAGAAACGAGGCTCCTTGCGCTGTTTGGCTTTGAGCTGCTCTAAAGCGAACGACTGGTGGCTGCAGAAGCGGGAGGAGATTTTCTGGAACCATTTGCCCTCGGCACCATCAAACTACAGCGAGATTCAGGCCAGGGAGGGGTCTCAGGTGGGAGTGGGAAAAGCAGAGCCCCACCCGGGGGTGGAAGCTGAGACGGGAGGACAGGGCTGGGGGCCCAGAACCCTGGCTTCCAGGTCCCTGGCTGGGAGGAGGGGACGGGGGCCTGGGCTGGGCGCCCTCACCCGGGCCAGCAGCACATCTCCAATCTCCTTAATGAGGTAGCCACTGTCCTGCCTCCGTTTCATCAGGCGATCGAGGAACAGGGCTGTAGGGGGTGGTGAGGAAGGCGTGCGATCAGGTCCCGCAGGCTGCATGCACAGCCCGGCTGGGAGCTGGCGGGGCTGGGGCTGCAGGTGTGTCTCTCTGACCCTTGGGGCCGATGGGCCTGTCCCCCTATCATGCATGCACTTGCTGACGTGCCTCGTCCGGCCTAGAGTGTGAGCTCTGGGGATCTGAGGCGGGGTTGTCCCCAGTGCAGGAACAGAGGCTGCCAGTGATGGGTGCATAAGAACGTGTTGGGACCTAAGTCTAATTGCCAAGGCCTCTGAGGAGGGAGCCGGCCCTGGGGCGTGCAGTGGGGCCGCGGCCCTGCACTCACAATGCACCTCGATGAGCTCGTCCAGGCTGGGGAAGATGTTCTGAAGCTCCTCCAGGGAGAAGAAGCCCCCGTCCGCCATGGGCTGGTAGAAAAGGTCATGCAGCACCCGAAGCATGCGCACGTGGGCCGCCTCCGTCACCAGCAGCTCTGCGGGGTCACCAGGCAGGAGGCATGGTCGGGGAGGGTGCCAACTATGGGGCAGCCCAGAGGCAGGCTGGGGACAGGATGAGACAGCTCTCTCTGGGTGGAGTCATCCGCCCGATAGCCAGTGAGTATTCCTCGACCCACTGCCTCTCCTTTTTGGCAGTGGCACCAGCCACAATGACCAATGGTTCCAGTCTGCCCGGCACCAATGGGCTTCCCAGGACATGGGGTTTTCAGTGCCCAAATGGGCAAAGTTCCAGGCGTACTGGGATAAGGCGGCCGCCCCACTGCCAGCAAGCTTGCAGCTGTGTTTGGTGTCTAACCGTCCAGCAAGCGTGTCAGCCTTGGTTTTGGGGACAATGACTCCCTCTGCACACAGGTTGATGGCCTCGGATCCAGGGGCTCTGTAAGTCCCCGGAGACCAAATGCACAGTTTTGTGTGTTACGCATATTTTTCTGGTGAGAGAACTGGCTATGCTGTCCAGTGTGGTAGCCACTGGCCACACATAGCTCTTCAAATTTTAATTAAAATGGAATGAAACACAAATTTCAGTTCTCAGTGGACTAATCACGTTTTAAGTGCTTAACAGCCATTATGTGGCTGGTGGTTACCCTGTTGGACAGTGCAAGCATCACACATTTCCATCATTCCAGAAGGTTCCACTGGAGAGCATGGCTTATGTTTTGATCATATCCTTAGAAGGATGTGTGACCCCCAAAACATTCACCTATTGCCCTAAAAATTATAGATGAGTACTTTCTTTAAATAAACTTCCAAAGGAGCTTCTAAAAGCACCGACTTTTGCCAAATCCTCCACACGCACAAATTGAAATCGCAAAGAATCCAGACAAAAATGACGCTCCCATGATCTCTCCGCCCAGAAGCAAGCACTTTCCAAACTTTTCCCGGAGAAATCTCCCCCACAAACAGTCAAGGTCATGGTAACCACAGCAGGCGTATTCGAACGCTCTCTGTGCCCAGCCCGGTGCTTAAACGCTCCACGTGAATCATCTCGTCTTTGTCACAGTCTTTTGAGACGAGAACTATTACTACGGATGATTCACGAATGGGGAGATAAAGGCTTATGCTAGAGTTAAGACTTTACATCCCGTTTCTGGCGCTTCACATCAGCGCTGTCCTGCACGACTAGAAATTCTTTGGAAATGTCACTTTGCCAGCAGCGTGCCTGGTCCAGAGTGGCTGTTCTACAATTCACGTAATAAATGACCCTCTGCCGTGACAGGCTGCCTTCGAACTCTGCATGTTGTAAATAACACCGAGACGGGCATCTCCCTGCATCTGTCTGTCTTTGCTACAGCGGGACTGGGTCCTTGGCCACAGTGGGCTGGAGGGGGTGACACTCACCGCTGATGACCTCTTGTCGCTTCACCTGGCTCTTGGGCAGGCTGTGCAGGGTACCTGGGGGGACGAGCTCCCGCCAGCCTGGGGGCTCTTCCGGTTCCAGCTCTAGTCCCGACCGTCCCGGCTCCCCCTCATCTCCAGGCTCGGGGCTGTGGGACAGAGGCCTTGTTAGGGTCCTGGCTTGGGCCTCCTAGGGAGGACACTTTAACTCCTAGTTCCCACCTCCCTCTGTGGCCTGAGTATTCAGTGCCCCTCGGGTGGCCCATGCTGCAGATCAGCCCCCACATTTTTTGAAAGAAGCATCCTACACCTTTCCTGTGACCACTGAAGGCCCTCAGTGACCTCGGCGTCTGATACTCAGTTCTTTGTGACTGTGGCAACAACCCCCCTCCATCCCTCGACCCTCCTGACTGACTCAGTGGTTGTGGGGCAGTGGACTGACGTACGTGGCTCGTCGGGCAGGGCCAAGCACGGCCGTGGCGGAGCTGGGGTCCATGTCCACGTCGCTCCGGGAGCGGCCCCCACCCCGGCCCTTAGCCCCGAGGCTGCCCCGGGAAGGCCGGCGGCGGTCACTCACCCGCAGGCTCTCTGAGCGCCCCAGACGCCCTGATAGCCTGGACCCCAAGGCAGAGGCCAGAACAAGCACAGAGACGGGGTAAGACCAGGACAGCGAGAGACGGGAGAGACCAGGACAGGGGCAGACAGGGACCAGGACAGGGACAGACAGAGACCAGGACAGGGGCAGACAGGGACCAGGACAGGGACAGACAGGGACAGACCATGACAAGGACAGGGAGAGACCGGGACAGGGACAGATGGGGAGAGACCAGGACAAGGGTCAAACATGCAACAGAAGAGAAGAGAGAGTCAGAAGGAGCGTGGGATCTAGGGGTGCTGGGGCAGTAGGGCATGGTCAGGAGGGGAAGGGAACCCAGCATGGAGCACAGGACTGACCCTCCCTTCCCTGAGGCAGGGGATGGGGGCAGAGCCAGGAGCTAGGGGTAAGAGAAGGGGCATTTTAATACTTAGCTCTTTGGCTGGGAGGGTGATGTCCCCACCCACCCCTTGCAGGATGAAGGAGAGTGGGTGGCCCATGGGGAGAGGGTAGGAGCTGGGAGAAATGGGGGAGGGGCTAGCCCTCCCCCCCACCCAGGGCCCAGGCACCCACCTTTTCCACCTTCTGGGGAGAGAGGGGCACAGGGTCAGAGGTGGACCCAGAGGGAACCCAAGTCACCTCCCCCACCCATAAAAGGGCCCCCAAAGCTGCTGCACAAGGACAGGCAGGGGACAGCCTGCCCCCCAACTGTGAGGGGGACAGGGCCCCCAGGCATGGAGCACAGAGGAGTGGGGGGCTAAGGGAAGGGGCACCGGGAGGCAGGAGCAAGGCACTGGCTGAGGCTTAAAAGAGGAGATGGGGAGATGAAGAGGTGAAGGGGTGGAGGGAGAAGGGCTGGGAGGAGCTGAGGAGTGAAGGGCAGAGGAAAGGAGAGAGGGAAAG